AAAAATAAATAGAAACAAAATAATAATCAAAAGTATATACAATAGATAATAAAAAAAATCTAAAAAAATAAGAAAATTAAACTAAGCAAAAAAAAAAACACATGCATACCTATATTCAATCACGCGAGGGAATTCCAGGAGATCTCTGCGCTACTCTCTCAACCACGTCACTGGTACTAAAGCCAGCGGAGATTGATCGAGAGCACTTTAGCCACATACACTCATGACTTGAGTGAAGAATCTGGCCATTGCCAGAACTCCAATATATACAATCTACAAAAGGTCACGAGGCCACTGCCGTTTCAACCTTCTTGGAGGATTATAGGGATGGGAGGTGCTTGATAGGGATTGTGCAAGAGGGTTTGGGTGGTACGTAATGTTCTGGTGAAATTTGGAGAATTTTTCTGGGATAAGGTCCAGGACGAATGGGATGTTAAGGTCATGATGTAGGGTTTTGTTGGTTACATAGAAAGGAGCATCGACTATTGTTCGAACGACTTTTGACTGGAAGGATTGGATGCGCTTGATGTTAGAAAATTTTGATCCCCACAGTTCCAGTCCGTAAGTCCAAATAGGTTTCAGTATTGTCTTGTAGATCAGTAACTTGTTTTCAATGGAAAGTTTAGATTTTCTGCTTAGTAGTCGGTATAGTTGGCCGAATTAAATGTAAAATTTTAAAATTATTTTTAAGCTTGAAAAAAAACTATACAAAATCCATCGAACCAAGACAATGGCATTGTTTAAAAAACTATTTCATTGTATTAGTGTAAAAGAAGAAATGAAGTATAAAAATATTTCATGGATGTGTAAAACTTATGTTTATAACCTTAAATATATTTAATGTAGATTAATAACTATAGATCCGCTATTATATTTAACTTGTTAGAGTTATGAGGTTTTCATTGCCTACCGTCGATATAATAAATTATATTTGTGTTATGTTAATGGCCTTAATGAGTTGTTATAGATTATCTGTAATGCTTAAAGTTTAGGTCCGTTAAAAGTTCACTCAAAAATGTGTAACAGACCAACATTGCTAAAAAATAATTTCTATTCGAAGTAGATCTTTAAGTAAAAGTTATGTGATGCGCTTACCCGATTTTCACATTTCATTTTTATCTCAAATTTAATCAGATTTATTATATTTCGATTCCTGAATTCGTAATTATTGTTATTCTTAGTTTTTTTGCTTAAAAAAAATTGTAAAAATGTTCGGTCAGAAACATTAAGTTATGCTTATTTCGATATTTGATCATCCGCACATAATATAACGTTAAGATTATGTTTTTATATAGTTTACTGCACAGTTATCTATAGGGGACCCTACACGGTCAATCGGAATTGCACTAATGACGTTCCGAATTGTCATGTAACGTAGTGAATGAAGTACTGATGTTGGTGCGCTGCGGATTTCCGAACATCCGGAAATCAAAGGTTCATTCACGAGAAGTGGAGGGGGGGGGCTGAGGTAAAAGTAGTGGGGAGACTAACCATACTGCTGGATAGGTTAGATTACCTAGGCCTCACAACCATTATAAATTTCTGATTTTCATTATATGTAAATAGTTAAATAATTTTTCATATCCCTTGTTTATAATTTTAAACCATCTTCAACTATTTCTTTTAAATAGTCAAGTGGGCAACAAATTAAAAAAAAAATGAGGAAACTTCACAATTTACTTTAGGAAAAAATAAAATTAACTGTTGTGTTTATTTGTCATTATTTTTTCCATTTTTCTTAACAAATTTATTATTTTCGCAATACCTTTTCTTAATTTTTGTATGTAGTAGACTTATATTTTAATAGCTTTTGTCAAAACGATTTTCTATGAGACTAACCTTACTACTAGATAGGTTAGTTTACCTAGGTCTCGTTATTAAGTAAATAATTTCATAAAAGTAAATAGTTGTTTATATCCCTAGTCTATATTATTATTAACCCTTTTTCAACTATTTTTTCTTTAAATAGTCAAGTAGGCAATAAATTGGAGTGAAAAAAAAGTGGAAACTTCACATAAGTAATGATCAGTAATGATTGAACGTGTAAGGCTCTTCTACAGTGACTTAATAATACAGTGCGGTCATATGGATTCGATTTCTGATTGGTTGGCCATCTTGGATCGTCCCTTGCTATCTGCTTGCTCTTTAGGCACCTCAAAACTGTTAAAATTTCATATTTTATTAGCAGTATTTTAGTTCAGAAGCTTAATTTTGTTGTTTAAGTGATAGGTTTAGTTTATTAATAGGTAGCTTTTATTGAATAGTTATACGTTTCAGTGTTTTCAATGATTGTTTTGGTTTCTTGTTCAGTGATAGGTTTCATCTTTACAGACTTATTTTATTAGTGATATTTTATTTAAAAGTTTAATTGTGTTGTTTGAGTAATAAATTTAGTTTACTAATAGGTAGTTTTTATTGAATAGTTGTACGTTTTAGTGTTTAAAGTGATAGTTAACCTATTCATGTTCAGTGATAGATTTCATCTCCGCAGACTCATATTTTATTAGTGATATTTTGTTTGAAAGTTTAATTGTTTTGTTTTAGTAATAGATTTAGTTTATTAATAGGTATTTTTTATTTAATAGCTATATATATCAGTGTTTAAAGTTAAAGTGACAAGTTTGGTTTGTTCTTCGTAGACTTAAAATTGTGTGTATACTTTAATTTTTTACTTTATTTTATTGATTTTCCTTTTTAATTCAGTGGTAATGAAAGAAAAAGATGGAAATCAAGTTTGAAACTTGGTTATATGAAGACAGTGTCTATAGTTCGAGGCTATTAGCTAACACAATTTTTATCTTGAAGTTATTAGTTTCCAGTATAAAATTGAAATTTTGTTTTCCTTTATAGTTATTGTTACTTTCATCATTAAAATATGAGTATCATTTAAGGTCAAGATTTTAAGGATCATCAACTATACTCAATTAAACTATGATTTAAGGATCATCAACTACACTCATATTTTTAATATTGAAAGTAACAATAACTATAAATGAAAACCAAATTTCAATTTTATACTTGAAACCACTGATTTCAAAATACAAATTGTATCAGCTAATAGCCCCAAACTATAAAAATATCTTCTATAATCAAGTTTCAAACTTAATTTCAATCTTTTTCTCTCATAACCACTGAATTACAAAGGAAAATTAATAAAATAAAGTAACAAATTAAAGGATTAAGTCAATTTCGAAACCTATATGAGCCAAATCAACTCAGAGGTGATTTAAGAGGATTTTTCATAGAGAAAAATGAGTTCTGTTGATGAAGAACACGTATTTAATTGTAAAAATATTAAATATAGTATTCTTAAGAGGTTTATTGAATTTAGACTTAGGATAAATTCAATAAGTAAAAAGAATTTCCCTCATATGTCTGTTTTTAGCAGTAAATATGTAAATGTATATGTGCAGCATTTATAAATTTAAATTTCTTTGTAAATAAATATTCTGTTTCATCTTTTTTTTTTTTATATATATATTCCTTTGTTGATTAAAAATGTTTTCTTTTTCAAGTTAAATTGGATAGTTCTTCAATCAATTGATAATTTATTGTATTTTATCCTTACAGTTTTATGTTTCACTATTAGTTATTTTTACTTGGTATATCCTGTGTGATAAAATTGAAAATATATTATAGCCAACAATCTCTAATTTCCCAAAAAACTAATGAAAAATAAATAAAATAAGAGATGCAATATAAAATATCTACATTATGGTAAGAGGCAAACCATTTCATAAAAAAATATTTTATATCAATGATCAGAAATGAATCTATACATCGAGGATCAAATTTTGAACTATTTAAAATTTTAATTATAGTGGATTTATAATAGTTAGTGTTATCCAAAATCAGTCTTGGTGATATACTTTGCAAAATCAAGACTAAGGCCTACCTAACTTGTAAAACCAAGACCAAGATTGATAAAAAAATCCTTTTTATGAATAAAAATTAAGTTAAAATAGTCAACCTTGAAATAGTTGTAATAGTAAAACTTGAAAAATTTAGTTACCATATGTAAAGAATTGGTGTAACCAATATCCTTTGGAATTTAACTCTCAATTTTTCATTTGGGCTTAGGTTTCCCATGTCTGACAAATTACAGTAATATATCTATAATAAGAAGCTGATAGGTAACTGGAAGACTGTTGCGAGACTTGCACAAGACCAAGACACCTCATGGTCTCGCATTTGGGCAACACTAGTTGTGGTATTCAGTCATAAGCAATATAAATAAATTATATTTATTAAATTTACATTAAATAATTTATTTTTATTAAATTTACATTAAATAATTTATATTTATTAAATTTGCATTAAATAATTTATATTTACTAAATTTACATTAAATAATTTGTATTTATTAAATTTAGATTAAATAATTTACATTTATTTAAAGTTTTTTTTTTCTAAAGGTGAATATTAAGAAGAAAAATAAAAATAGTTTCGTGATTGCTGACTTAGAATTGAGTTTCTGGTTTTCCAATGAAAGTTAATTTTCACTCAGTTTTTGTTTAATGTTTTAATAATTAATTAATTTGTTTGTGAAATTTGCCAACGAGAGAGTAAGATGAACACAATGGAAATCTTAATATGCCGAAGTTTATTGGAATATATTTTAAAAGAAATTAAACCGAAAAAAAAAACAAATATTGTTCTTTGATTTTATTATTTATTTTCGCGTGATATAAGTGATTCATATGCTTCATACAGATTGTTCAACTTCAATTCTATCTCCCAAACCATTCTAGTAAATAGTTTGTTGCAATAATTACTTTTTAAATTGAAATAACAAAGACAGACTATTCAAATATTAGTTTCCCGCCGATCCAATATGGCCGTCCCCTCCGTATGACCGCACTGTATTAATAAGCCACTGTAGGCTCTTCATGATCAAAGCGATAGCGGGCAATCTTGTAACTTCTTGTGACGTTCATTCATGAATTACCGTGTAGCGTCTGCTTATAATTATTAGTACTTAGAACCTGGAGTTCAATTACCTTCGTATGATTTCAGACAAATCAATTTCAGACACTCCATTTTCGGCACTCCATGTATATGTGATCTTGATCGAGCCAAGCACTAGTGAACTAGTACCAATATGTTTAATAATATTAATGATCTTACAAACTAAAATTTAATTTTACTTAAACATAGACTTTTCTAATGACGTACGAGTAATTTATACAAACCATTATTTTGAAATTTATTTTAATTTTGATATTGATTATGTTTTAATATGATTAACATTATTATAAAGTAATAAAAACTTTGTACAATTTCAGTCCACCAACATATTAATACCTTAATTATGTTTTAAATGAAAATAGTTCCCAACAATGAAGTGCTAACAAATATTTTAAACAATAATTATTTCGATTTCAGCTTTTAAAAGTAATAAAACATGTGAAGTTGTATTTTATCTTAATATTTACTAATTCGAAAAATCTTAAGAATTATGGTTGAATTTAATAAAATGATGAATATGATGCAAGGTCCATTCCCACTGCCAGACTTAGAATCTGAAGTTGGAGGTTTGTCTGCAAATCAAATGATACATGAGGTTAGTTTAGATTTAAGAATGGTGATTATTTCTTTCCTTTTTTTATCCTATATATGAGCAGTATATCAAAAATCGATATTAGCAATCGATAACTTGATTGCTTTTAAAGATATATTTCAGGTATTACTTTCAAATAATATTACTATATATAAAATTTTAGTAAAAAATTATTGCATTTAGACCAGTTTATGTTTTAGATTTTGTCAGTTTTACCAATATTTTTAATGATGTTATCTTATTGTAATATTTACTCAAAGTAATTTTATTTAGCTCTCTGAAAGCGTACTTGTAATGTATGAAAAACAATTACTTTTCTTTTTAAAGTAATACACTCAAAGTTATGTATCAGCAATATAAATATTAACAAATGTTATGAGAAGGAGTTAATTGGGGGGTGCGGTCAAATAAATACTAAATTTAAATATAGTAATTATTTAATTTTTGCCGACGTTTAAGTTAACAAATGTTGCTATTAAGGATCTACCTCGTTGGATTCTTAGTAACCTGTTGATGTAAAACAATTGCCATTGCTATGGGTGTTCATCACAGTTGCAAGAGCTAATATGTATTCTAATAAATTTTTATTTTTTATTGAGTGTTAGTAGTAGTTATAGTTTTGGGCTTAGAAGCGTAAAATCTCCAGATCATCAACATTTATCTAATGTTTACTTCAATTACCTCAATGCTAAATTATTTAAGAAAAATAAATAAATAGAATTAATACATAAAAAATACCTCAAATTTAAATTTTGTATTGGAAATCATTCACTTTAAGAATATTTAATACCGACTTAACTTTAACTTCATCGTTATTTAAAGTATCTGATAGTTTTGGTGTTAGTCCTAATTTGATTAAAATTGATACGTAACAGGGGCACTCTTTAAAAATGTGGCTGTGTGAGTACCGTAGTAGTGTTGACGTTTTGATGTCGGTTATTTACTTATGAGATAAGAATGTGTTAGGTTCGTATGTCTTACACTTAGTCTAGTGAAGGTAACTTCCTTTCTACAAATAGAGCGGTTCAAGGTGGATCATCATTTTTTTTTGTATCCTTCAATTAGCTAGGAGGGCTCTCGTCCCACATGGCTTGCCAACCAAGAGCTATTTGCTTTGTGATGGGAAGTATTGTTGGGTTCGTAGTAGTTAAATTTATGGTATTGCTGTACAAATATCATTCTACTTTGGTTGATGGGACAAGATCTCATAATCACACTATTAATCTAATCTCGAGAATGACCGACTGTGTCCGAAAGTAGACGGAAGTGAACGGACCTTCTGGCAAACCCCAACCTCACCTGAAACGAACCTTATAGCTTTAAAGTTAGCGAAGCAAGCGGGAGTCGAAGGATTAAGCAGCGATGCATTAAAAGCCCCGAATTTAACTCAAAAGGACCAATTGAGTTTCGCGAAGTCATAAATCGCGATCTAAACAATAGAAAATTCTCGTATCTATTCTATTCTTTCATATATCTATTCTCGGAATCTCATTTATGGCGTGTAGGCAGTGGGACAGACCCCTTTTTATCAAATTATTAACATCTACAGGGGTGTCCGTCCCTCTCCAAGGTCGATGGCGCATGGACCTACCTCCCTCCCTCTGTTCCTCCCAAGATATTGTATTGACCTTCTCTTCTTAATAACAGTGCAAGCTAAAGTATAATTTTAAAAATTATAGGTCATACAAAACTACACTTTCAGTGATCTGTTCTATAATTTTCTTTGGAATCATGATTTGAAACTTTTCATTTCGAAAATTCAAAACCATGTCAAAATGTGCCTCCCTCAAAAATTTTGATGGTGCAATTTGAGCCTCTTCTGGGAACCTCTGAACATCTCTCTGAAACTTCGTAAATTGCTTCAATCTGGAGGTCGCCAAACTTTGTCTATTTAACTAGTTACTTAAAACACGTAAATACCCATTCGCTTTCCACCTGAATCTTATGATAATTTAAGCTCAAAATCGATACAATTTTGGGCCGTTTAGAATATATAACCTGTATACATTTGACAATTTGGGGATGTGTTTCACGCCAAATAACCTAATATTTTTGCCACCTTTTTTCTCGATTTTGAGATCAAATTATTTTACTATCCAAGTGGAAAGAAAATGGTTTTTAAAAGAAGTGGTAATTTTCATTACTTAATTAAATAGACATAGTTTGCCGATCTGCATCATAAATAAATCTTGATAAATTAATAGTTTGCTTATCATCTTCGTAAATAAAATAGTTGCAGGTTACGATGAGATGAAGCTATTGACGAAGCTTCAGGTGTATGTTAATGATTCGATTAAAAGAGGCATGTATGTACGACGGACCACAGGCGCATCTACGGAGGGAAGGGCTTTGGGGCTGAAGCCCCCCCCAAAATGGTAAAATGTAAACATGTTTTATAGTAAAAATTAAGTCTTAAAGTATTAGTGTTCGTTTAATTACATATAATAAGACTTCAAGTATCACTTAAACACCATTTCATATAGATAGTTAGTATCTTTCTGTTTTTCCAAAATAATTATCGTTATATATATGAAAAAAAAAATTTCGGGCTGGAGCCTCCTCCCAAAATTAAATTCTGGATCCGCTAGTGCCACGGACTAGTGATAATGCGATTTTGGTCCACTCGTCCAAGTGGAGAGACACTTGTATAATAATACCACATTTAGTTCCTGTAGCATTGTGTTATAAATAGACCTATATTGTTTTCCTATATTATATTATTATAATATAGTTCATTTTACAGATTATTTTAATATTTTATCGTAGTTTGTTACATTTATTTACATTTTTTTAGTTGGAGATAAAATATGAAGATTTTGTTTATCTCTGATGCAATTATTACAGTTCCAATGATCAAATCAATGTATCACTTATTGAGCTAAGTTTTTGTTTTTTACTCAACCTACAACATTTTTCTGTTGGCTTTACAGAACTTTTTACTAACTTGACGAGGTTTAATTGCGAATTCCGTTATGGAATCAGCTAACATATATTTAGTTTCTTATGTTCATTTTCTTACCTTTTTCTTATTTGACCTGCTACTTTTGTCATAGTCTTAATTTTATCTACAGAACTTATTTATTTTAGGAAATGGAATACATAGTGGAGGAAATGTACGACTTCTTGCCGAAACTGGATATACCGGACGACATTAGGTTGAAGATAATGGACAAGTACATAAAAGATCTTGAAAAGTTCAAGGCGAGGAAGGATTATTTTCAGAGCTGGATCGAAGACTACGAGAAAGAAGCCAAAGAAAATAAAAATAAAATAGCCAGTCTACGTGTTCCAGAAGTAATCACTGACCAAGTAAGTATCTAAAGAGTACAACATGAGTTATAGGGTAAAAATATCTAGTGTGGTGTATTACCGAATTTTCATTTACCACCTTGATTTCAATAGATATGAATTGTTTATTCGGCTACTTATGTTGACGACAAAATATTTCTCACAAAACACTAATATCTTGCTCAGGTCTCCCTAACTTTACAATATCGGGGCCGCGGTAGTCGAGGGAGTTAAGACGGCTACGAAAATTGTATATCAAGTTTTCAAATCCCGTTAATGGGAATTAATAACACAAAACATGACCTTAATATCCCATTTGTCCTAGATCTTATCCCTCAAAAATTTTCCAAATTCCACCAAAACCTTACATATCATCCAAATCCAATTGCACAATCCTCCTCGAAGGTTGAAGCGGCAGTGGCCCAGAGACTTGTTCTAAGAATATATAGGAGTTATGGCAATGGCCAGATTCTCCACTCAAGCCATGTATGTCTGGTTTATTTATTTTGTTAGATTGGTTTATTTTTATTTAGTTTAACATCTTTCAGTTTATATACAATTTACTTTAGTATAATTATATTGACATTTATTATTTTTATTTGTTGTATGGTATCAATGAGCTACTCTATATCACTATTACTATTGTTCTTGAATCTGACAGATTGTAATATCTCAATAAAGAGGTTTAAGAAAAAACACACAAAAAATAAATAAATAAAATAATTAGTAATAAATTAAAATTAATAAGTGAGGCCCCTACACGACTACTCAAACCACTACTTTGGGTTCGATTTCCGCATGAAACGGTAACGTCCCACCCAGAGATTCATTGTGAGATGAGCGACCCCTGTGTCTTACACTACAGCTCCTGATCCTCGAGGTTAGGGGTTGGGTATAGGATTGATAATCCCTTCTCTAAAGAAATATGTATGGGTGGAAGAATATGGAAGATTACTGCAAATGATTGTCAACCATCCTTCAGGAAAGTTCCTGATGAAGAGGGAGTGAATTTTGATCGTGTCCGGTTAGTAAGGTACGTGCTCCCTGTATATCTCGAAGAAGAGAGAACCAAACGATCACTACTGTCAACTATAACAGTCCCCAAAAGCGGCTTAAGAAGACTCATGAAGAAAAAGTCGAAGTCAACAGGCATGACAAAAAAAAAAAAAAAAAAAAAAAAAAAAAAAAAAAAAAAAAAAAAAAAAAAAAAATATTGATTCAAACTATAAGAAATTCGACTTAATCATGGCAAATTCAAGCATATAACTTCCGATTTACATCGATAAAAAAAAATTCTTAAAACGAACATGATACTTTATCGTGGACTCCCCTTCCATAAAAGGATGACCTGGAACAGCATGTAAAAATGAAACGCAAGACACTTAAGAAACTACTCAAATTACTTTCACTTTTTTGTTTTTAAATATGCAAAACTGAAACTGATGAGAAACAGAATACATACACATGGTATGGATATACTTATCACTGATACACGTTATCGCTAAAAAGACCCACCTACAAAAATTTCAAACCTTCTAATCAAAAGTATTGCGACTCATAACAAAAGCACCATGGTGCGTAATAAAACTAAACTTTACATACTGATTCTAACAGCTGACCGACATATGACAAACCTTTATACAAACTTAAAAGAGCAGACTACTGATTAATAAGAGTCCATGATAACAGCTGATAGACTAAACTGGATGAGAGATCTCCTTTCT